TCGATACCTTTTATCTTCCGTGAATTCATCCAAGACTCAAACATTTTGAACTCCTTTTCGTAAGCATCTCGGGACTTTTCTGGCAGAATCTGCATCGCTGCTTCTTCCGCTTCCGTAAGGATATCCTCAGGAACGTAATTTTCATCGGTTTCCTCCATTTTCTATACGTTTTTTTTCTTCAAAAAAGCTTCTTTTTTCTGCAGGGAAAACTGACAAGTGTCAAAAATTCTTTAAACATTTGCTAACAATGTATCATGCCTGCACAGATTACATGCCTGTAGCAACCAAACAAACAACCTACTTTAACCCACATACTTTGACCAAAATGTAAAAAAGTCACTGTCAAGATGCTGTCAAGTCATTCTGACATTTATAAGGTACTGAGATGCAAGTATTGATTTGATCACAAAGCTTATTAATTATTATCTTATAAAAAAACGATTTCATCCACTTGTTGGATAAAACATTGTATGCCACTCGTGTGTTTTGTTTCCTAAGTCACTTGAGAATTTATACCACTCGGCCTGACGGCCTCGTGTTATAAATCTTTCTCGCGTGACTTATTTTCAACATAACACACTAGTACCATAAATAACTATTAACTCACTCTCGGTCTTTTAAGTCACTCTGCCAGTAAAAAAATCTGCTACAAATACAAACAAACAACTAGTTATACCCTGGCAACCACCAATTTCAATATTTAGCGCTTTCATAACTACTAAATGAATTCTTTTTATAATTTTATTCCTATAAAATACCTTATTTTTTAAATGTCCATCGAAATGGGATAAAATTTTGTATACATCACGTGAGTTAAAATGTTTATTCATTCGAAGAAAATTAACCCCCTCGCTAGGGCTCGTGGGTTAAATTTTCTTCTCATGAATAAACATTCATTTAACTCACTTGGTGTATAAATAACTATTATTGCTTTTTCCAACCATGGATAAATTCAATTTTCACCAAGTATCGGCTCAATCAATTCAATTTTTGACACAATTGTTGATGGGATTCTATTTAGAATACAGAAAGATTAAAGCACAAAAACACACCTACAGAGAAAACCACTAAAGAAGATCAACGATAACGAGAACACTAAAAACGTAATCAAAAGGGGTAATGACGCAATGAAAAAAATACTAAGAAGAGAACCCAGGCAATATGGAAACCTAACCCAAATCAACAAATTAATATACGCTGTAGCAGAAGAAATACAAGACAGAAGAACTAAAGACAGCAGTCAGTAGCCCTGCTAATTGGAAATCACCCGGGATAGATGGCTTCCCAAACTTTTAGTTGACATCAATCCACAAAAATCTTGTCGCAGCATATAATAAATTAGTAAACGAAGAACACATCATACTAGGGCTTCGCAAGACCAAGACCAAGACTGGCCAGTCTTGGTCTTGGTCTCGAAAAATTAATGCGGTCTTAGTATTGGTCCTGGTCTTGATGTTTCAAGACTGGCTCAGTCTTGGTCTTGATAGTCTTGGTCTTGATAGTATTGAAAAAAATTTATACCCAATTTTTAAAATATACATAACATCCAACGACAAAGCCGAGATAATGGGTTTAGGAATTCAAAAATAAAAAATAAACCTCCCTTTCTGAAAAAATTATGCCGCCGTTTCGACCATGTATTTGGTCTTCTTCACAGGCTATTTTTACCACCAAGAGCGTTTCATGTCAAAAAATACCGCATAAAGCATTCCACAACACAGAGGAACAAACAAACATCAATTCTTAAATTATAATTTTTATTAACGAAACAGGAAAGTTGACCCTCACATAGTCACATACCTCATTTGAATTTTATTGGCCTATTCACGATAATTAGATTTGGGTTAGTTTGGGTGAGATGTGGGGTTTGTGTTAGTTAGTTAGTTAAGAATTATCTTTGGAAATTCCAATACTTAGGTATTTTATTACTATGTAGGGATAGGAAAATATCGATGTGTTCTGTGTAAATGAATCTTACCTACACTATGTTGTATGTATGTATTTTTAAAACCTATAATACCTTCTCGTGAATTTAAAAAAATAATAAATTTGATGAATTGATTTAATTAAAAGACATTAAGAGAAGATATAGGAATTTATGCATATTTTTATAAATATTGAGTCGATTTTTCTTTTCAAGACCAAGACCTAGACGAGAGTCTTGAGAGAGAGTTTTGGTCTTGGTCTTGGTCTTGAACGTCAAGTCTTGGTCTTGGTCTTGAGACGACTTATCAGGTCTTGGTCTCGGTCTTGGTCTTGGTCTTGCTTCCAAGACCAAGGCTGACTAAAGGAAAAACATACTCAATTCCAAAAAATGAAAATAGTGAACAACCAAATAATTACAGACCTATCAGAGGTGGAACTCTACGGTCTAAATAACATATACAAGACCCTAACCAAAATTATGTCAGAAAGATTACATACACATTTAACAGATAATAAATTATACGCACAAGAAGAGAAAGAAAGCATTAAAAACTAATAGGGATGCAAAGACCACCTTCTAACAAGTCAAACGATTCACAAAGACTGTAAGGAAGGCCGTAAAAGTTTATTCCTAGCTTGGATTGATTATAAAAAGGCGTTTGACAGTATTCCACATAGCTGGCTTATACTTAGAATCGATAAACATATACCGTGCATCAGCAATACTACTAAATTTCATTATGTAAGACCATGGCTACGTGGAAAACCGATCTAAACTTAACAAAAAACACGACCACTGTAACCATCAAAGATATTAGAATCAAGAACGGGTTTTACCAGGGAGATTCCTTGTTACCACTACTTTTCTGCATAGCCTTGTTTCTCCTAAGCTCCATCCTAAATAACTCGAATACAGGATACCGATGCAAGAACGAAAAACAGAAAATCAATCACCTTCTGTATATTTATGACCTAAAGTTGTTAGCGAAGAATGAGGCTGTACTATCAGAACAATTATAGAAATAGTCAAAAGGGTTAGTGACGACATTAGAATGGAATTTGGTCTTGAAAAATGTGCGAAGGCAGGTTTCCTAAATGGGAAGGTACAAGCTAAAGAGAATATCCAACTAGTTGACGAAACAATAAAACAATCCTTAGAACAACATAAAGCTTACAAATATCTAGGCATAGATGAGCATAACGAAGTACAGCATGAAAAAATGAAAAGCAAGATGAAATGTGAATACTATCGACGAATGAGAGAAATCCTTAAAACCGAATTAAATGAAAAATACACAGCTTTTACATTTCTAGCAATAGGTACCTGTCCTAATATACAGCTTTGGGATCGTCAAATGAACCAAAGCAGAAATAAGGAAAATTGATTGTAAGACAAGAAAACTACTTACCATGAATGGAGCACTTCACCCCAGAGCTGATGTTGATCGTTTGTATATCCCACGGAAAGAAAAAGGAAGAGAAATGACAAGCCTCGAGAACACCCACAATATCGCTATGGCAGGTTTGGAAAACTACTTGAAGCTGAAGAAAAAAGGCAAATACCTAGGGATAGTATACCGACAACAAGAGAAAAAACTGGACCAGACTGATGAAGGCACAAAATATGATACCGAGTAAATGGAATCCACCACCAAAAAAGAAACAAAGATCAAAGAAGTAAAAATCATCAAAGATAAAATGAGACAACAGTCAAAACAAGACCAAAAAAAATTTGAAGGAAAGAGACCAGTATTAAGAGCATAACGTGGAAATGGCTTACTCACGCGGATCTGAAATCCAAGACTGAATCACTAATAACTGCTTGCCAGGAGCAAGCCATCGTGACGAATTATATGAAGGCGAATATAATGAAAACCGGTACTGACCCAAAATGTAGACTGTGCCGGTCATTTGATGAAACCATTCATCACGTTGTGTCTGGCTCCCCGATCCTGGCTAAACGAGCTTATTTAGACTGTCATAACACTGTGGCAAAACAACTGCACTGGGAATATATGCAAAGCCTACGAAATACAAACACAAGACCGATGGTATAAACACATCCCAGATCCTGTTATAGAAACACCTGAAATAACCATAATCTAGGATGCTCAAGTACAGACAGACATGAGAATCGATGGTAACAAACGAGACGTTATACTGAGAGATAAAAAATAGAAAACTTGCCTCGTTATCAATGTTGCCATAACATCGAACTACAACATCACTCATAAAGAAGCTTAGAAACGCATAAAATACAAAGACCTGCAGAATGAGATACAACGAATGTAGAACCTGAGAACAAAGGTTATACCCATAGTGATAGGAGCCACAGGACTTGTATCCAACTATACATGCGAAATCATTAAAGAAGTTCTATCACAATATACTAAACATGCAAAAGGCAGTAGTGGTGAGCACAGCTCATATTATGCGAAAAGAAATTTAGCAAGACTATCAGACTTAATCGAACACCTTAGGTGTACGGTGTGCAGCTGGTGATTCTTCAAAAAAATACTACCATAGCGGAAGAAAAGCTGTGAGATAAGGAACAAAAATAACAATAATAATAAAAATAACACCTTGTTCAATACGACTACTGCGGTCAAGGTACCTTCATTGCCATAAATAATTATAGAAAAAAAAAACATTTCAAAAATTTATTTGGTTGTCAAATGGACCACTGATTTATTTAAACATACCAGAGAATCTTGGAATATTTACCTGAACAATATAATAACAATAAAGACCATCAAGAATTGTTCTTCCTATAAAGGAAGAATGTATTTAAGATGTCACAATTATTGCGTTTCAAATAGGATGTAATATGGTAATGTCATTAAGGAAATTGTTCTGGGCCCATAACTTTTTTAAGTAGAAAATTTGATTCTATTTATTATCGCTTGGCAGCATTTTTTTTTATTGCCATTGTTTTAAGGCTATTTATAAGCAAGATCATTATCCAACATTATTATATTAATCGATAGGTTGTGTCTGGTCGCATTTATTTCTGCCCAAAATTTGTATAGAGCAAACGGTCAAGGTTTCTAATAATAATTTCTCCTTTTTTACAGATTAAAGAAGAAAATCTGAAAAGCCTTTTATCAGAAGTAGAAAGGAACACGCTATTTGGTAAAGGTAAGTAAATGAAAACTTTTAACTTTATAAAGGATTCCAACCACTAAAATTTGAATTGAAAATTACAATATAATTATTAAATTGTCTATTAATACGAAATAGCTTCCCAAGACAATGAAATTTCTATCGGATTTTGATAATGAAAATATTCGTGAGAAGGAAAGTTTACAAATAGTTGTCTTTGGGAAATCGTCCATTTTCGATTTCATTATGTATTTCAATTGTATTTTGTAACAGCCCAAATTAGATTGGGCAGAGAACGCGCACCTTTTTATCTTCTTATATAATCAATTGAAGTCTTCCTTGTTTAATTGCAACATTTTTAATTGAATGCATGGAATTTTTTAGAACTTTCCTATAACTTTTCTCAAGTATCTCGTAAAGAAAGTTTCAATGGCAGCCAAAATCCGCAGAACTTTTGAAAGAGCATTCATAAAACTGCAATTTTTATTAGAATTATATTATATTGCAGATCCTATAACAAATTTAGTTGAAATGAAAACTGTACCTTGCCAAAAAGAATTTTATTTGTGAATATGTCTGGAAATTTCTCTTCAAATTCGTCCAAGACTTGAATATAAAAATATAATTTTTTGTTTTCAGGTAAAAAATTTAGCTGTACATTTCATTATTAGTGGAGTAGAGAAACGCTAAATTCGTTACTGAACGCAAGTTCGTTAGACCATTGCACTTTTGCCTATCATCAATTTTACATTTTTCCATCATGGTCTAATCAACGCATTGTATGCAAATCTAAAGGCGAACTAAAAAGAAAACGAACTCTCTTTTATTATGACAAGCTAAACGAATTGATGGACTATCACAAAGAATTGAGGAACAAGAAAGCTCATTGTACTTTAACACAATGAGAAAGTGCATTAAAAAAAATAAAGAAACGTATGATATAGGGCTCTAATCAACTCAAAAATGTTTGACTCAGAAACTACAAATTTGAGGAATTAGATTTGACTGCTCGATTAAACTCAATTTGGCCCATTTTGATGGATCAGCAACCCTGTATTGTATTTCCCTAACAAGTGCGGAAACCTATACTTTTTCGCATTTAACTGCCATTCATGCGGAAGGGATCTTGGTCAAGCTCGGTATACCTTTCAACTAATTATCCCCTTCAAATGAAATGGGTTTTCACTGGTGACTCTTCTTTCTTCTTGGGCGTTATTTGATTTGTTTTTGTTTGTTTGTCTCATTTTCAATATTCAAGTCACCAACTTTATAGCTCTTCAAAACTGTAACCAGTCCTCCTTTTCTGATTGGAATCTCACTGTTGTTTTCTTCTAGCTGGAATCTCAATGGTATGTAGGTAAAGCCAATCTTCTTTGAAGAGCAGAACTACAAGAGTTCCTAACTATTATTCAATTTTCTTCACACTTCAGATATATTGATTAGCCGGTTCAGTATTGATAGGATATAGTGTTACAAATAAATTTAGTTATTTGAAACTTCAATAAGATAAACAGAACCTATAGGGTCGTGAAATTCAAAAATAAAGATAACGTGTATAGCCCCTTTATGTGCAAATGAAACCACTTAAAATCCAACAATTTTATTAAATATTTGTTCACAATGTAAGTAACAATGTTACTTTTCTTTAAAATTTTACAGTTAACAGTTTGGTTGTTCTGGTGAATCTGATACAATATGTACCTTTCCGATCCGGAGCTCTTCAATGGATATTGGGGTTTCACTTTCGTGAACTGGAGCTCTTCGTGTTATTTCCTGTATCCAGGAAAGAAGATAGATTGCTGGTGTGACGTCAATCCAGCTGATCCAGAATCCAAATAGTGATCTTTGTGTCGAGTAGGTACCCAGAAAAGAATAAGGCAGTATCATTTTCACCAAGATTTGGAATATTGAATCCCTGAATTCTGTCAAAAAGCAAGTGTCTTGCAAAGAAGATTTAAATTGAAATTAGTTTATTATAAAACTATTGTTGTGCAGACATTCCCTTTCAACAGAATCAGGTCAGTATGAGCAACTATTACAAATTGGAAAAATATTTTAATATAAAAAAAAAACAATTAAATAATTAAAAAAAAAAAAAATAATGTAATAATTGGATAAGTATACAGCAAGATTCAAGATACATGCTCTTTATAATTGAGCAGAATGCTGCTCTCCTAGCAGTCGCACTAAACAGGCAAAATTTAAATCAAAATAATGTAAGAGAAGTTGAACAAGATGAACAAAATAATTTTATAGATTTTCCCACAATAGATAAATCTTCCTTTTCAAGTTAAGGTACCTACTATAGGTGCCACAAGATAAAACTGAGGGTGAAATTAATTGAATCCAGGAATTGTCAAAATTCTTGAGATGTTTTAATTGAAACTTTTTTTTGAACGAATTTTTGATCTATCCGGAATTTTATAAATTACACCTTCCTTTTCAGCACTCTCCTTCTCGAGAAGAAAATGAGAGAGTCAAACAATAAATGGCTATGCAGGCCTCTGCCTGGATTCGGAAAAAGGTTGATAGGGATGGACACCCAAATTTGGTTTGCACCGACTGTATTTAGAGCAAATGGTTCAACAATCCCACACTAACAATTGATTCTGAAAACCAGAGCAGCAGTACCTATTTATAAGCCAAAACTTTGAATTGACTTAACTCAGAAAAACGTGGGACCACCAATCGCAAAATGGAGGCACACAATTAGATAAAAAAAAATTAAAGTATAATATTTATATTTCAAAGGTAGATAAGATAAGATTTATATGGTAAAAACGTGTGATTTTAGCAACAGTGATATGATAGTATACACTGAAGCTAAAATAAATTAAAAAATTATTAAGGGAAAATCTAGAAATCTGAAGGAATAAATTACAATAATGAAAATCGACTTGCCTGCTCGGCCACTGCCAAAAAAGAGACCGTTTTAGCATATAAACCCTGCAGGAAACCATTCTTGTTGAGGTTATGTTGAAAACACAAAACCACTAATTAATTAGGTCATTAAGCCAAAAATAATTATTTCAGAATCAGAAGTTAGAGAAAGACACAAATATATCTATTTGCTAAAAGTGAGATCAATATAATTTCTTTAAATGAAAATACGATTGACTGTTAATGAGAAATAATAAAAATCATATTTCAAAAAATAAATTTATCAGGTACTAGATGGCGGTACCTTCTTTTATTAACAGATATTTGCATTTTTATGCTCATTATGGATAGATGGCAGTACTGATATTATATTGGATTAATTAAATTTTGTAGATACTTATTAATTATTATTTTGCTGATTCTGAAATGACAAAAATACAACTTTATAATGAAAATTAGAAGAAATGGAACATGTTACGAAAATGATAAATTTATCGTAACAATAGATAGCTTCTTTTCCATCTTCTCTTGGTGATTTGAGATTGTTTAGTTAATTTCAAGTTATTCTCAACCGAGTTATTTTCGGCATTTATTCCCTTCTATGTCTTTCTATCATTGGTTCGTTCTTTTTCTTCATGTCTTCTTTGAGGGTTTTGTTTCTATTATCTTATTGATTTCTATGTATTCCGTGATTTCCGTTGTGATTGGTCTTCCATCGCTAACAAGATTTGTTCATTCATTGCCTTGCTTAACTTATCCTCCTTTCTGTTTTTCTCGTTTGCTCGTTCACTATAATATTATTGATGTTGTTTATGTCATACTTCAGATTCTTCTCTATTTTCAACATTTTCCTGTTTAAACGTGACCCTGAATTTGATTTCAACTCTCAAAATTTTATAATTACTGCCAGTGGTGAATCTGCTGAATACAAAAAATATGTTTCTACTTGTACATAGAAAGTAGGTAGTCTATTTCGTATTTTTGTCATATCTACCAACTGGTGATATCCAAATCCATTTTCTGTTGGATCTCACCTTGAGGAAACTGCTGAAAACATACAAATTCCATTATCTTCGGTATTTATAGAGCCTTATTTCTGGATTCGTAGCCGAAGTTGCCGATTATTGTACTTAGATTCTTCCTTCAGAACTTATTTGACATTAAAGTCGCCCATGGGAATACTTTTTGTTGCTCTGCTTTCGTCCATGGGTTGATTCTTATGTTGATAGCTCTTCCAGGATTTTTGTTGTTTAATTGAGGTTGGGTTGGTCCACGGACCTGGATGAGCTTCAAGGAGGTGCTCTCTATTGATGTTCAAAAAGGATAAAACATCAATTGATTCCTCTACCAGAATTTCAATGTTTGTCTCCGAAAATCGCAAAGAATTCCGGGTCATCCGGGGACCCGTTGCATGTTGTGCATATTGACGTGCAATAGAGGCCTATCTTCCTGCATCCACAATTTCGCTGGCAGCCTTTCTTGCATTTGCAAGATATGCTCCGTAGTGCTGGTTTGAACGTGCTTGTAACGGGAACAAGACCACTCACTGTTGGTTTTTTTTTTCCACTCCCACTCGTTCGGGTCTTTATGTTGCTCTTCATCGGATATGGTTTGTCCAGATAACCACTGCTGCACCTGAAAGTACACTTTGAGAAATTTTAATTTTTCCTGATTGAACAGAGCGGAAATGGTGTCACAACCACTCATTGTGTGGAGGAACAAAATATGCTCCGATAGGATTTTGTCTAGTAGGTGAGGATCGTAGATGATGTGAGACACCTTTCCTTTTCTCAGGAAGAGACATTTTTTATAGCAGGACTACACAGGCCGAATAAAATCACCAAAAGGCTGATGTCTTCAACCACCCCTGTCACGTATTCATTTGAAGAAGCCAACTTTGGTGCTATTGTTATTTTGAGAATATCAGCATCGATGACAAATTTTGTATCGGTCAAGTTCGCCTGTTCAGTGGGTACAAAAGCCTTGTACAAACTCGATGTGGTTCCTTTCCTCATTCCATGCTCATCGAAAAGTTAGACAGGATAGGGGCTAAGTTCGTAACATAAAAATTCTCATCTTCATATTTATGTTTCACGATGGTCATTCGTTGGAAAAATGTGATAGGATTGATGACTACAACCCTGTCTCTCTGTCTGGATCGAGCTGTTCATGATTGCAAGAGGCTGCGCTCTATCGCTTCGCTTGAATTTCACAGTTTTGAAGTCACCTCCAACAATGCGCTGCATACTTTGAATGGCAACTTCCTTGGACAAGTGGCAGTTGATTCTATCATCTGCGACAACACCTGAACTAAGTGACATCAAGTCAGTGGTTCTGGAAAAGGAGGATGTTCGTAGAATCAATTCAACAACTTTTTTGCATCAGTTTTATGTCTCGCTCCACATCCATGAGTAGAGACAACCACTTGTTTTCAATGACTTCATCAGAGTTTGCTCGATGGTCATATCACTCCAGGTGCCGCACCAAAGTTTATCAGTTCTCCGAATGGTGAACCATCCTCCTTCTATCCATTTACTTGTAGTATCTTCTACTATGAAAATCCATTTGTGATAGTCGTGCACTTCAGTTAATGGACCAAATAAATTAATAGAGATAGTTTCAAAACGCTGTCTTTGAATAGGAGTCTGTATCCTTCCTGCAGGTTTAAGATTTGTAGCTTTATAACGTTGGCAGCAGTCTACACATTCAATAACATAATCAGAAATGGTTCTTCTCATTCCAGGCCAAAAAAAACGACTTGCAATTCTTTGATAAGTACGTTCTACACCATAATGACCAGCTAATGAAGAATCGTGGTACTCGACAAGGATTTGAGGAACTTGGTATTTCGGTTCTAACTTGTTGAGCTTCATCTTCATCTAATTCCGGGACATAACGGTATAGTACGCCACAGTTCATGAGGTAGCCTCTCTCAGTTCATCTTTTAAAATCAACATTAGAACCATTATCAGAGTTTTCAAAACATTGGATTTTTTTATCGAGATCTGGGTCATTCATTTGTTCACGTCTGATCTGATTTGCTTTTTGTCTAGGTAAATCGACAATAACAAGATTGACTTCTGCTGCAGGAATTGCAGGGCGTGATAACATATCAGCAACAACATTATGTTTTCCAGGATTATATTCAATACATAAATCAAAAGATTGCAAAGCTAAAGATCATCTTGCTAATCTGCCTGAAGGTGATTTGAGTGTCATAAGCCATTTCATATGGGCTAATGATCACTTTTAACGATAACATTAGCACATTCTAAATAGCCTCTAAATTTGTCAGTCACGCACCAAATGACTGCTAGATCTTCTCGCTCTGTAGTACTCTGTAATTTTGCTCAGCTGATGTTAATACACGACTGGCGTCTTCTATAGGTTTTTCTTCTGACCCCTCCTCCTGGAGTAAGCATGCGCCAATAGCATTATAGCATCTTGAGAATATATGCTTTATTGGGGTCAGCTTGCTGAAGAAAAGGGCTAGACGTTAAAAGCGATTTCAGATTTTCGAAAGCCTTCAATTTTTCTGTTCCCCAGATCCATTTGACTTTCTTTTTAGTGAGAAACGTAAGAGGTTTTGAAATTTCTGCGAAGTTTTTCATAAAATGTCGAAACCAGAAACACGTTGTAGAAAAGAAAGTAGCTCTTTGACATTTCGAGGATTCGGTATTTTAGAAATAGCAGAAACTTTATCTGGGTTTGGAGCAATACCAGAAGAGGTTATTACATGACCGAGGTAATTGACAGAAGAACAAGGAAATTTGCATTTCGAACGGTTTAATTGAAGTTTGAATAATTTTAAGCGATCAAAAACTTTTTGTAAATCACTAACATGAAGTTTATTATTATAAAGGTACACTAATATATTAATATCTTGAAGTCCAGAACGAAATCAATTAATTAGTCTTTGAAATGTGGATGGAGCATTTCGTAATCCAAATGGCATTCTTGTATATCTAAAAGTACCTGAAAGTGATTACCATTAACATTAAAAAACCTGTACCAAGAATGACTGGTAAAAACAGGTAATAAAGGTAGTCATTTTTGTTTCAGATCAAAATTACACAATTATCAACATACCTTTGGAAAAATACCCAAATGCGACACATAAATTGGAAATACAAGCTCCTTCTTTCGGGAAAACTTTCAATCTTGACTTAACTCGGTCATCAAACCTAATATCCAACGATTTAGTTGTACTGGAAACTTATGCCAATGGATCAGTACTATTCAAGCTGAGAAATGAGGATTTGAGATGCTATTTTCGTGGTACTCACACTGCCCTTAGTGTATGTCAAGGAGTGGTAAGTCTTTACAAAAATTCTAATTTAATTTATACAAATAAAATATTTTCCTTTTAGAATGGTATAGTGCACACCGACAATGAAAATTACTACCTAATCAAACCACTGCCAAAAAGATTCCATAATACGACTCACATGCCGCATCTATTAATAAGAAAATCTCATAAGGATAGCAAATATCAAGACTACTATAAACTTAGGAATAAATTAAACAATTTCAATAAACACTCGCATATTTTTAGAAGAAAAAGTAACCAAAAATTTAAGACCAAAGAGTTATTTATCCAGAAGAAAATAAACAGCAGGACCAAACGAGAAACGTTTCCTACTAGTGCGACTGTTTTTGTGGAAACTGCCGTTTTTGTTGATCGAGATTTGTTTGAACATATGAAAACAAACTTTCCAGCGGACACTGAACGAGAAATAATCCGGTTTGTTTTAGCTATGATAAATGCGGTAAGAAACTGGATTTCATACCTTTTGAAAATTTCTCACTTGTATTTTTTATAAGGTTCAACTTCTCTATCACGACCAATCCCTAGGCCGTCCAGTGAATTTCGTACTAAAACGTCTGGAAATAATGAAAGATGACGTGGCCGGTCTCGTAAGACCGCCAGATATTGATAGATTTTTGTCTAATTTCTGTAATTGGCAAAGGACCAAAAATCCGGCTGGAGACAGGGAACCACTACACTGGGACCACGCCCTTATACTAACAGGTTTGGATCTTTATGTTCGAGGCAAGCATGGAAAAATATCGAACCAGGTTGTAGGTAAGAAACAATATTTTTTATAATTTACTGAAACTTCTCGATGCAATTATTATTTCTTTTGACAAAATATTAAAAGGGCTTAAAAGCCCAACAGCTTCATTTCCTCTTCATATTCCATTGGGGTTGACACAAAAGGGGAAATGCTGGAAACTAGGGGGAAAATGTACGATAATTAAATTGGAATACCTATTTCGTTTTGGTAGGCAATTATTCACGTCCGTGAAATTTCCCTCGTTTTATTTTTCAGGATTGGCACCAGTTGCCGGAATGTGCACAGCTACCAGCAGTTGTACAGTGAACGAAGGTCGACATTTCGAAAGTGTTTATGTTGTGGCACATGAAATTGGCCATAAGTAAGTCAATCATTTTTAAACTTAAATGAAGTTTATAAGTTTTTTTTTTAGTTTGGGTATGAGGCATGACGGGCCTTTGGCGGATAACGATTGCGATCCTAGCAGCTACATTATGTCTCCTACTTTGGGTAGTGGGAAAATCACTTGGTCTACTTGCAGCAAGAGATATTTGCAGAAATTCTTAGAGTAAGCTAGTTTACCCTGATCCTAACACTTCGCTATCATGTCAGGATAAACGCAACTTGCATTCGCCAATCGGGCCAGAAACTGTATTTTTAGTATTGATTATTTTTATTCCAAGGAAAGGTGGCATGATTGCATGTGTTTAGAATAGTAATAGGAAGTAAACAATTTGTATTCCGTTGCAGGATTCAATTCAAGCGTAGAAGAGCGCTTTCGGCTTTCGCTATCATCAGTACTACTTGTCAGGTTCCGAAAGAGAAGTTAAAATTGTAAACGAGAGAGAATTGCAGATCAGCACACGATAAATAGTCACAACCAATCTAAAAATTCTCCCGAGGAAATAAGAGCTGCTTCATAACAGGCGCCGCCAGAGAGTCAGAATTTCCAATGCGAAATTCAACATTTTATATTACATTGTAAATAATAAATTTGTTCTAGGTACCTATTCAAAATTCAAAGTTAATATTTTTGAATTTAGGCATTCATTGAAAAGCAGAGAAAATTTTTTTTCTTCGTCCTTTCACAATTTTAACTTCTGTCGTAAACCTGCTGACAAGTAGTACTGATGATGGCGAAAGCCGAAAGCGCTCTACTACTTTCAATAAATTGAATTCTTTTTATTAGCACTCCTCAATCCAGATGTCTTCTCGATCATGGTAGTTCTGCAGGTCAATTGGACCATGGAGCCGAGGGAGCATTACCCGGAGAAAGATTTGATGCAGATCAACAATGTAAGCATTATACTTTTTACATGTAAACAGCCTTCACAATGAACTTCTAGGTATGCTCAAATATGGTGGCGGCAGCAAACATTCCTCGCAACAGCCCATAGATGACGTTTGTAGAGACTTACACTGTGAAAGGGAAAGGTATACATGGACATCTCATCCTGCTTTGGAGGGTACTCATTGCGGAAATGGTATGGTAGGTGAATAATTCATTATTTTTATTTCTGGAGATATGATGAGTTAACTTGGTTAGCAATAAAACTGGAACTGATGAGTTTTCACATTTCAAATGATTTGTCATCTGAATCAAATTGGTCAGGTGTATCACATGTAAATTGGAAAGAGAACTGTTTACCAAGAGGTTCCATTCCAAGGTTAGAAACTTTCATCATGGATAATTTATTCTTATACTAAACACACATCAAACCTGATGATTTCAAATTTTTTCCAGAAAATGTCACTTGGAGCCTTCTCGAATTTCAAGCTGTTTTTCCGAGATTTCATGGTTTCAGCCTTCAACATAGGATTCTCATTGTCATTTTTTCCCAATATATTTCTCACCGGATCTTGCCATTAAAAGGTACGCGATGGACATTTTTTTGAAGTCTAACATCAAAACGTCCTAGGATAAACGTTTGTTCAAGAACGATTCGATTTTAAGCGCTAATTTAAATTGATGTCCTAGACGTTAAGTTACGCTAGGTTAGGTTTTAAAGAGTTTGCCCTACAACTATAGAGTTTGCACTCGGAGGCCGATTGTGATCCCTTCTTCAGGGTGGTTCCCTCCCAAACTTTTAACCTGTTCCTTCTTTCTTCGTTTTGTGCCCAGCATCTGTCCAGGAAACTTTGTTCCAGGTTGTGTAGTCGTTCCTGTATTATTATTTGGAAATGATAAATAATGCCAAACTTGAGTCTTTAAAGTTTTTAGGGACTACAAGAGCCAACCAAAACTAGCACAGCTCATTTGACACCATCTAGTCAAAGACTGTCAATCACAGAATCACCAGTCAAATATGCACTTAGGCAACCTAAACCAATGACCTATTCTACTTAACAATACATCCTTCCTCCAAAGGATTTAGGATTTCACAAATTTAATTTTTGTACAGGTTTAGTGGTGCGACCTGATCTATATATAGATTTTTTTGAAGAGTGGGTTCTGGGCTGGACTTTAAACTAAATTCAACATCAGGAACAACACTAGACCTAGCACTAGACTCAACATTATCCTTAAACACACAATGGACTTTGAATAACAGGACATTCAGTAGATTTGTGAGACTCCAGTGGTTCTAAAATTTCAGTTGAATTTGATTTTTTATCAAAATGATTTTGTGATTCTCTCAGATCTACTCGATTTCGTCTAACAATTTCTCCATTCTCAGTCTGGATAATAAAAGAACGAGGACTTTCATGCTCCTTTACAATTTGGCCAGGCTCCCACCTTTTTGTAATATGGTTAAAGACAGTGATAATCTGACCTGGGTCAATATCTGGCTGCCAGATTCTAGCAGAGGTTTTGCATTTCTATTAAAATATGATTCATTGCGATCCAATCTGCATTTGAGTTTATCAGACACATTATTGCAAAGTGTTGGCTTTAAAAGATCAGCAGAAATGGGATTTTTTTTACAAGTGCGACTCAATAAAAGCTGAGCAGGGGAATAGTTAATAAATTTCAATGGAGTGTTGCGATACCTACTGAAGTAAAGCTTCAAGCATATCTTTTCCTTCCTCAAGAGATTTCTTAACTATACTCTTTGCTATACCAACACCTTTTTTAGCTAAGCCATTAGACTGGGGATATTGAGGGCTTCCTAACAAAATTTTAAAGTTCCATTCTTTTGAAAATTCTTTCATTGAAAAATTACCAGAAGTAATATTGTCACAGATCAGTTCGTCTGGACATCCGTATTTAGAAAAAATCGACTTTAGCTTTGAAATTACTTCAGGAGCCGATTTGTTCCTCAAAACTACCAGTTCTAGCCAATTTGAGTAAGCATGATATACTACTAGGTAAACATGATCAGCATAAGAAAAAATATCAGCTGAAATTCTTTGCCAAGGTCTTCCAGGCAATTTATATGGTTTTAAAGGTTCCTTGATATTTTTCCTTGCAAACTTTTCGTATACTTTACATTTTTTGGTGAAATTTTCTATGTCTAAGCTCATATATGGCCAATGAAATACTTGTCTAGCTCCCAATTTCACTTTATCCATGCTAATATGCCCTTCATGAAACTTTTGAAGCATAAAAAGTTTTTCTTTTTCGGAATTACAAGCTTGTTACCGAGAAACAAAAGATCATTTTGACATGCAAAAACAATAGCCAATATTTCCTTTTCAATTTCTGCATAGTTAACTTCACTTTTTTTAAGACTGCGAGAACTAAATGCCCATTTTGTAAAAGACAGGCTCCTAAACCATCTTTGGACGCATGTTTCAATTTCAATATCGGCTGAAGCGTCAAAAAACGACAGAACAGGCGCATGAGATAGTAAATACTTAAGTTGGCTTAAAGAATCATCATGATCCAAGACCATTCAGCTTCCAACCTTGTGAGATTTCGTAAAGGTGCTGTTACTTTGGATAAATTTGGAACAAATTTGCCCAAGTAATTTGCCATACCTTACAATCTTAATACATCACTATTTTTTGCTGTGGGCGTGGCATGTCTGCAATGGCCTTGATGAATGATTCACATGGGTTCTATTCCATTTCCTGAAAACAACTAGCCCATACATTTAACATGCCTTGACTTAAACTGTATTTTGGGCTAATCGAATTTAATGTTGTATTTTTCGCTCGTTCAAGAACTAATCCCAAATTGTCATCATGCTCTTGTTCCGTTGACCCTGTAATGATCAAATTATCGAAATAAATTCCGACTTTAATGTCGCCAATTAATTCATAATTTTTACGCTGGAATACCTCAGGAGCTGAGAGTATACCAAATGGTAACCGTAGAAACCGATACCGTCCAAATGGCGTTCCAAAGGTACAATAATCTGAGCTTAGATCCGTAATTTTCACTTGAAAATACTCATCTTTCATATCGAGGACAGAAAAATACGATTTATTTGACAAATTACTAGCTATTTCATTAAGAGTTGGAATGAGTAGTTCGCGACTAACAGCATTATTTAAGAATTTTTGGTCCAAACATATCCTAAAATCTTTGTTTTTCTTCTCGACTATAACCAATGGATTTAGCCATTCAGTTGGCTTATCCACTTAGTTCCGTCTTTTTTCAACTGTTCAAGTTTCAATTTACTCTGGAATGCGATGCCTGCGGAATGCGCCTAATCGGCTGTATGTGTGAGAGAGCATCCATTTTTAAAACAATTTGATGAGTTGTAGGAAACTCCTCTAACCCCTCAAAAACCATAGAATAATTCTTAGTACCATCATCGAGAGTTCCAAACTTGTCAAACATTAAAATATCTACTTTTCCAACTAAATCCAGATTTATACATCCATTTAATTTCAACAACGGTAATTGACCTACACTATCAACAACAAATGAAGGTGTTTTTGCTGATTTTCCATTTATATTGCATTCCAAATTAACCTTGCCAACAAGTTTTATCGAGGGTTTTATGGTGAAATCACCACTACCATGAGCAACCAATGCTACATTAGTTTTCTTTAATTTCCTTTCACAATCAAATCCATTCATAAAATGAAGAGGTAAAATGCTCATTTCTGTGCCAGTATCCAACTTAAATTTAATTGGCTTACCCTCGACATCAATGCTTTTAAGCCACATGTCTGCACTGGATGACTTTAGGTCTATACTCACTACACCAACCTGCTTGGTTATGGCACCAACGTGAAATCGGTCATTTTCACTATCCAAGTTCACCTCTTCTTGTGGAGCAACTTCATGCACATTTTTCTTCCTGCCATCACGAGATTCCAAGTTTTCTTTTGATTAACACACTGGAGCAAAGTGATTGAGATGATGACACTTATTGCATTTTGCATATTGCATAAGCTGAACACTTGCCCTTTGCATGCTTAGTTCCACAGTACATACATGCAGAGATTGCAAGGCTTTTCGTCCAATTTTTTGTTGAGTTTGTTCCTGCGTTTAAATTCACTTCACTCTGCAGAACTTTAGATTGCAATTCGCTAGCCTCAAAGGCTCTACAATGCTTAATTGCCATGTCCACAGTCAAATCCGATGCTCTCATTAATCTTTCCTGAATATCTTTGTTGAAAACAGCCCTAATCCTTTCAACTTTGTTATCAGTGGATTTTACAGCCTTCCGCAACTCCGTCAAGAATGAGTCAAACAATTGCCCTTCTTTCTGACAAATACTTTTGAAAACAAACCTTTCGAAAATAACATTTTTTTTAGGTGAACAGTGGGCTTCAAATTTTAGCTTAACCTCTTTCAATCAAGGATTTCTTTTGAACATCCGTCAAATGAGAAATATTTGAATAATTCCAATCCATCACCTCCAACTATGTTCAACAAAACTGATCGAACTACCGAGGGGTTCATATATTTCTTCATTTTTTTATGTCAAAATTGGGGTTATTTTCAATAGATTCATTTTGGTGTTCTAGAAAAGGTTCGTTGGGCTGCTCAACTTGTTGCTCAATAAGCTTTTCACTTTCTTGTCCATCTTCTATGTTTTCTTGGCCTGAGTTCTCGTTATCTTGTGCCATTTTATAGTTTATATTTAATTCAACAACCTTTTCTTGCTGCATACGTTGCTCTTCGTTTCTTGGAAATATAACAATATCTCTATGAATCTCAACTTTATTTCTGTCTGGACAGTACACTTAATAACCCTCGACCTTTTTACTATACCCAACTAGGACACCTTTTTCACTCTTCGAATCTAACTTCCTCCTTTTTTCTTTAGGAATATGTACATCTACACTAGACCTAAAGCTTTTTGATAGTTGTAAATTAAATTTCTTATTATGCCAAAGTTCATATGGAGACTTATCTTTTATAGAGCTTTTGTTGACCCTACTGATCACAAATACAATACAAAAGCTCCTAGCTCCAGCCCAAAACTTTTTGTCGATGGCCATTGAAATGTAACATGGTCTTAGCAGCTTCCACTAAAGTTCTGTTTTCTCGTTCGGCACGTCCATTTTGCTGTGGGGTATACCGTGCATGATCTCTCATGTTCAATAGGTACCTCTTCGTTGTAATATTTACTGCAATTCTGCATT